GCATGCTCAGTCAGACCGGAGCCATCTTCCTCACATGAATGGAATGTGGCTTGTTAGGTTTATCACCTGAGGCATTGTAAATCTACAGTCAGTGTTAACACAGACACATGAGCGTTTCTATTATAATGCAGAAAACAACCATTTGATGCAATAACAGTATTATAACATGATCTTGTAATTTTGCGCTCACATTCCCCCATCTTGAGAATTCTCTCAACTTAAAAGAAAATTACATGGTTTAAAGAGACATTAATACACATGTAGAAAGTGCATACATTCTTCATAGAACAAGAAGCATAAAAACAATAATGAATTGCATGGGTTCCTGCATGTGACCGGCTGCTATAGCAAGGGCTCAGCCTCATCCCAAGAAACTCAGCAATGTCTCCCATTTCAACCTCCAACACATATTCTAAGCATTCTACCAATTTGTCTGGGGAGGTCATGATACACAGTCACCTGCACAAACCCATGAAGAAAAACAAAAGATGCATACAGTTCATGTGATTCAATGCTATATCTTCATAGACAGTGAAAAGCAAATATTGAATGCATAATGCAGTGCATGCAACAATGGAGTTTAATAAAATAATATTTAGTTATCTAACACACTCCAATGGATCAGCATAGTGGAAATAACTATTTCCATCCCCGTAACACCATCTGTAGAAACTAAAATTAACATATCTTGTTGGACAAATCCAGGTAGTGACTCCCGGATTAAGTAAAATGTATTTAGTTTAGTGCCTAATGAACATGACAAACATAGTTCCTGAGTATTAACATTATAATCAAAAATGTAATTTAGTAATGGTTATAGGTCAATTAGATTAGGATCAGTTTCTCTCTCAGGATCAGAATTCACCCTCTCCATCCATTCACTAAGACATGCTGAGAATAGTGTAAATATCTTTAGTACACAACCTCTTCCCCAATGTCACAATTAGTATAACAACAAATCAAAACAATCAATCCCTTATACATTAATTGCTTCACTCATATAGTTATTAACATACTAACAACTTACTCAAATCAATCAGTCAGTTTACAAATCATAATCCAAACAATTGTTAGTGATTCACATTGGTCCTATCACTCAAAGTTAAAACCCTCAACTTAGCACACGTCGACACTGGCAGAATGTACATTTATATTTACATACAGTAGAATTATCCATAATTCTAGTATTAACTTTCTCATCCCGATGTATAATTACAGATCAGTATCTCAATGCATTCTTAGTCTAAATTTCTATAAATGTAGCAGTGTATAGACCTCCACAATCAACCTAATACCCCAAAATAAACAATTTTTAAATAAGCCTAAATCAATTACGGGCACAGTTGACTAACCCCTCCTTTCCCGGCACTCAATCTTCTGGCGTTTCTTCATTTTGTTCTTCAGATAGCTTTATAGTTCAAAATGAATGGCCCATGATAATGTCCCAATTTCAATGTCTCAGGAATAATCTGATTTTCCCAGACAGACTAATGTCTCACATGAGCCCCACCACAATGCCTATTATGTCTTGTCCATTTGCCAACCTGTATACCAGCAACATTAGAGACGTTTGGAACAGATCTCTCTCAATACTCACTTCACGTGGACTCCTGTCGCACTCCTGAGAGAAATGGCATGAGAGAAAAAGCAGTTGATAGCTTCGATTGGATGCTGTGTACAGGTTGCTGGCTCGGACTCAGGTCTCTCAGCAGACATTTAGCAGACACTTTGATCCAAAGCGACACAGTCATGCATGAATACATTTTCATGTATGGGTGGTCCCGGGAACCGAACCCAATATCCTGGTGTTGCAATGCTCTACCAAGATGCATGACAGGGCTTTGTGAAGCCTCAATTTAATATGATTTTTAAGGCATTTATTAAATGGTGCTTATGCCACCCTTTTTATGGGTCCATAAATGTGGCATATATGTCATAATTGCCATTGATGGTTATGCCACATTTATGAACCCTTTATAAAGCATGACATATGGTTATAGATGATTTGTAACACATTTATATACTATTCATGAAGGCTTTATGAAGGCTTTATAAGCTGGATGTCAATTAATGTGGGATCCACTAGGTCGATGGCTTGTTCCGCCCACACCCAGCAAAAGTGGTAATAATGTAACTGCACATATTCTCTTCCATTTCTAACTTGCTCATTGAGGATGATGACCTTCTCTTGTGTTCACAAAAAGTTCATACTGTCTTTCTGTGATTGCCTTTCATGAGATTGTCTCTTCCCATGTCTCTTTAGACGCCAAGTTGATGGAGAATTTACTTAACACTCTTGGGTCTTTCGCTCTCCCTCCTGATGAAGCCTAAGACTTGTCGGTCACTGAAGGGCGGTCCATTACCTTTGGTCAATGTATTTCTGTTAATGCATGTCTATTCATCTGTCCTGATCCAGACTCAACTTTTTGATAGTAAATGATAGTAAACACTAGGGGTTGGTTTCACATACACTGATTAAACCTAGTACTGGACAAAAAGCACTTTAAATGGAGATTGCACTAAAAAGCATTCTAGATTGATTGATTTGATTTGCCAGTAAATTTTTTTTTACATATCTACACCCACTACATACATTTTTTAAACTTTACAAGGATAACACAATTATACTTTAGTCATTTAGCAGACACTCTTATCCAGAGCGACTTACAGTTAGTGAGTGCATACATTTTTCATACTGTCCCCCCGTGGGAAACGACCCCACAACCCTGGCGTTGCAAGCGCCATGCTCTACCAACTGAGCTACAGGGGACTACAATGGAAAGTCAATAACTTATTTCCATTGTGGTCCCTAATTTGCATTGAATATGCTTTTCAGTACAGGACTGGGCCTAATCTGTGTGTCTAGGTTTACAACATCATTGGAAGCTCTTTCTATGAACAACCTGAGTGTATTTTAAATGAATGATGAATGAACAATAGGCTTTTTTGCTTTTTTTAAATAGTTCTGACAGTGTTATGAATGCTTATAACAAATGTAATAAACATAAACATTTATAAGCATTACATTGCATAAACATTTAATATGCTCTTCATATGGCAAATTTTTCTGGGTGAGTTGTTATGAATGTTTATAGCATATTGTGGAATATCCAATGGATGTGATAGAGGGCACTATGCATATGAATAAATGGGACTATGCATATAAAATATAGTTTTAAAAAATCTACAACTAATGTTGAATAATGTGGTACACCATAAATCTAAATCCTGAATGAAAAGCAAGTACCAGGAGTGTGTGTTTTATGGCACTCACATGAGGACCCCATCAATTAGGATTGTACAAACTACATAGATAGGTAACATTTTTCATAAAGCCTTTAGCCCACTGCCATTTCTTGATTAGCAATGCAATGTTCCCTTATATCCTTTTGACATTGACGATGTTTCCATAAGAGTATCTGCAGTAGGACTGCAAAGGTATGTTCAGTGATGTGAACCATTCAGAATGTTGCAGAAAGAAATGTAGCATTGAGCGGAGCGGACATGATTCCTTATGTTAAGCCTACCCACCTGACAGAAAATCATATCTGATATAGTACCAACATTCAGTAACGTTGCACCCCTGTGAAGATATGATCTTTACCCCAAAGACGCTGATGTTTTATTATCCTTTCCATCAATTTTGTGAATGTATATTTATGAATATTTCAGGATCCTGGATTCATTCCATTTTCATATCATAGCCATAGTCGAATTCTTTCTAATCATTTTAGCCAAGCAGTCTATTTATTTGTAGCCTATATCAGTGAGTATGTTTACATGCACAGGATTCAATATTAAACTGATTATGGCAGTAGGCAGATTATGCAATAGTCATGTAAACACCTTACTCTGTTTATCTTAAATCAGCATAAAGTCAAAATCGAAGTAAGCATACCCCAATTAAAACAGCGGGTTTTCTGAGCAATCTTTCCAATTATTGGGAGATTTAAACACCTAAATCGGCGTTCCAGCTGTGTATTTGATCTGCACATGTGCAATCACCAGCCGAGCGAGTCTTTTACAAGAATGAAGTGAGTTGAGAACAACTCAATATATGCGTCTTAGCAGTGGTTGTCCTAACTCAAAATCAAATGTGCTTCACAAAAATTACATGGTCGCAGTGGTTGAACGTGTATTTTGATTGCCGATTTTCTGCATTTATCAGACTGCCATCAGGTAGCCTGATTTCAGATGTGTCCATGTAAACAGGATTATTATTGAAATCGTTCTTCTTGCAAAGCATGTAAACGTTTTAATCGAACTATTATATTAATCTGACTGTCCACAATAATTGCATTATTGTGTGCAATGTAACATAATGAGTGTGTGTTTCATATGTGTATATATGCATTGGTTAACGTGCTAAATGCAACCCCCTCCCACCATTAGGCCTGATCATTTGCAGGTGGATAAAGGTTGTGAGAGACTGTCATTGTTAGGTAAGACAAGAAGGATGATAGGAGTACATATTGGCATGGTTTTGTAGCGCCTTTACATTTCATTTTAATCTTTGTTTTTAGCCTTCTTAATCTGCCTTTTAATAATCTGTTGTATTTATTATAATATCAAACTCAGATTTGAGTAAATCCTTTTCCTGTAATATTTAACCCCCCAATCAACAGCTACTGTCATCATACAACCCAGTTTACAAATGTATTATGTCTGTCAAGAGTTATAGAGGCATCAGATTGGCCTTTAGCAGCCCACTATGTGCATAGCCCCTCCTCTCCACGCACGAGTGCGTACTGCGCTTGATGCAGAAGCTTGTGGATTCGAATTCTCACAGGTTATGCATAACAAGTTAGAGAAAGAGCAGTTTAATGGCATATTTTCAGTAAACGCAAGAAGGCGAAAACTAGGTAGAGCATTCACTTCATTTACAGAGATTGTACGTAGCTGAATATAACTCTTAAAGCCAGCGGCTGTGGAATAGCTGCGACAGAGACCCGGTTTGTGGCATTCAATGAAGAAGCAGACATACAGTATGCAATGCAGCCATGACAGGCAAGAGTAAGACCGCTGTGAAGACACTGGAAGATTTAACGCTCGATTCTGGTTATGGTGGAGCCGCGGACTCCTTCAGGTCGTCCAGCGTGTCGCTGTGTTGCTCAGACACGAAACTGTCATACGCGCATGGGGGCAACTGCTGGCATTTGACCGAATCTATGCACAGCCGACACAACAGCTTGGACACGGTCAACACAGTCCTGGCGGAGGACACGGATATCTTGGAGTTGTGCAGCCAGTGCGCCAAGCTTCCCGAGCTGGAGGACGTGCCATGGAGTCTCAGCGAGGTGGAGTGCGCACTCAGGAAGGAAGTGGAGCTATGTGTGGGGAGCCCATCACAAGAGGTCCTGGCCAAGCTCTCAGCACTGGTCAGCCGGGCGTTGGTGAGGGTCGCCCGGGAGGCTCAGCGGCTCAGTCTGCGCTATGCCAAGTGCACCAAGCACGAGATCCAAAGCGCCATCAAGGTGGTTCTCTCCTGGACCATCTCTGTCAACTGCATCACTGCGGCACTAAACGCACTTTCGCTCTATAATATGAGCACTGGGGATAAATTCAGCCGGGGCAAGTCAGCGCGGTGCGGGCTCATCTTTTCTGTTGGACATTTTTTCAAGTGGATGGTTGAGAATCGGGTGGCACTCCGGGTCCACGAGCACGCGGCTATATACTTCACCGCCTGCGTGGAGAGCCTGTTCCGTGAGATATTCAGCCGAGTGCAGCGGAGCGCGCTCATCAAGAAGGACAACGGCACCTCCACATTTATGCTCGAGACCCTAGAACAGGCCATCAACAATGACTCGGAGATCTGGGGTCTGCTGCAGCCCTACCAGCACCTCATATGTGGGAAGAATGCAAGTGGTAAGACAAACAAAATACATGTTGCTCATTTTCTGTTGACGGAAATGTGTCCTGGGTGGAATCGGATGCATTCTATTCGGTTTTTCGTTGGAAACTGGTGGTTTCAAGCTGAATGTACTTTGTTGACCACATCGTTGGCACAGTATCTTTGTTTCTGTTTGGATTACTCTACTGGTAGATCTACCAGTGCGTTATGGGATATAGGGATCTGCCGGTCAGAGTCTGTTTGTAGCATTGGCCCTTGCCGGCGTTGTTGAATGTTGTGAATACCTGGAGTCGATGGACTGTTTTGCAGAGTTGACTACATAAAGCGTATTTGAATGACGTCATTCATAATTGAATATTTTGATAGAGGAACAAAATCTACATCATCACGCACAGATTCTTGGTTCATAAAATGAATTTGTCAGCCTAATTATGTCATGTTAACCTTCTTTTTATATTTTTTTACCTATTTGCCAAAGTTAGGGTACCTGGGGTAACTAGCCCCCTGGGGTAACTCCCCTCCTCCCTGTAATTCACAATAAGACCATAAGATGTCATAATTATTTTCCCAACACTTTCCCTGGCTGCCACTGCTCTTGCTCAACAACATGCCCTCTGTGTCATTACAACTTTGAGATATTTCAACAAAACGAATGCGGTAAATTGATCAAAAAAGTTTATTTTGAAAAAGTTGTAGATGTATTCCAATGAAGTTAGATTGAATATATATTTTTTTAAATATAAAAGTAGGAAAACCTTGAGAGAAATGTAGATCATTGTTGAGTAAAGTAGTAATATGTTGGATGAGTGTGTTGGGGGCAACTCACCCCTTTATGGTTATGAATGTGTTTCTACCTGTCATTTAGACAAAAACTAGCGCTAACTGGGCTAGTCAATGCTAACTTGCTAGTGCTAGCTAGCAACCTTACTCCCAGATCGTCTGATGTAAAATTCATTAAAAAGATAACGTCACTTATTTGTAGTTGTAAATGTTTCCACTAGTGACTGATAGCTTTACAGTTAATGTTACTTTACAGCATTTGATGTCATATAGCTAGATACATTTTTAAGAGAGCTTTTCAATTGGCATCTCTCCCCCTGTTTTCAGTCACAGGTGGGGACTGGATTAGATGTGAGCAGTGCAGTGCAGGAGGTGGGCTCATGAGTTATGCTCCAATTTTACTGGGGATAGCTTTAATGGTGACCTATTTACAAATTAAAATCGTGCAATAGCAGAGCATAAGAGATTTGCCACATCAATGTTACGTTATTGTTATTAATTGTTACTCCTGAGTGGCGCAGTGGTCTAAGGCACTGCATCACAGTGCTAACTGTGCCACTAGAGATCCTGGTTCGAATCCAGGCTCTGTCGCAGCCGGCCGCGACCGGGAGACTCATGGACGGCGCACAATTGGCCCAGCGTCGTCCAGGGTAGGGGAGGGAATGGCCGGCAGGGATGTAGCTCAGTTGATAGAGCATGGCGTTTGCAACGCCAGGGTTGTGGGTTTGATTCCCACGGGGGGCCAGTATAAAAAAAATAATAATAATGTATTCACTAACTGTAAGTCGCTCTGGATAAGAGCGTCTGCTAAATGACTAAAATGTAAATGTTAATTGTTGTATTCCAATGTTATTAGTTATATTCATATTTTAATGAATTTTGCTCCTGAATGTCATTTTAAAATCTTGCATTATTCAAATCCATATTTAGTGCAATTGTACATCATGGATTGTATGGAAAAGGAACAACAAAGAAAATTAATGTGCAGGTGAGTTAGAGGGACTTTACATCAAATCTCCTCATAGTGTGGATATTAATGGTGACATGTGCAACACCATATCCCCCTAATTTGATTTAAATAATAAACTAGTCTTAGCATTTAAGTATTACTTACTAAATAATTTCTAAATAACACTGATTTAAACATGGATTTTAACACTTGTGAAACCCTATCGCATAATCTTCTCCCGGGGTAACTGGCACCACTGGACATCTGCTGGTCCACAATGAATAGCAGCGTGTGATTATCAGAGACGTTTTTTTCTCTCCACTGTTTTCATCAAAACTCTGTGGTGCAGCGGTAAGTCATTGGCTTTTATAGCCTATAATCAGTTGGAATACCAGTTTAGCATCTTACATAATGCTTCCCTTTTTTTCCCCCCTTCAAGTTGACTCGTTTTCAAAAACTTAATCTAGGGCATTATTTAAGATGCTTAAGACAGAAGCTTATACTATACAAAATACATTTGAACAGTGTGATTTCACATAAAACGATTTTCCAACTACTGTGTCTTTAATGGGATTGAACCTCCTACCCTCACGTCCTTGAATGTTTAATATTTCCCTACTCTACCTGCAAAGCTACCGGTCAGAACTTTTAATGCAATATCCTAACTATCAGAGGGATCTCGCATTTTGCAACACACTGAAAAAGCACGTGATCAAACTAAGTCATTGATGATGTACTTCACGCATCGGCACACTGTTCGAAGTTAGCTGCTTAGCGATTCAACGTATGCCTTGGAGCTCTGGTATCAAACGTAACATCACTACCAACTGGAAACATTGAAAATGGTTCCTTGAGGATCTCCAGGGTTCCTCGAGTCACCACTAATTCTAAGAGTGTGGGTATTTCCCCATGTGGCTCAGTTGGTAGAGCATGACATTAAACTTATCAGATTACACAAACTCCTGATGTTAAAGTTTAAAAACAGGTACTATTTAAAAGAAAGAAAAAATTACAATAAAGCATATTCAGAATGGTTCTATATAGAACCCTTCTTGCCTTGCAAAAAATCAAAAGAACACTTTCTTCCATAAATGTTTCTTGGGATGAAAAAGGTTCTAGGTAGAACTCTTTGCCTTCAAAAAGAGCATATACAGTAAGGGAAAAAATTATTTTATCCCCTGCTGATTATGTATGTTTGCCGACTGACAAAGAAATGATCAGTTTATAATTTTAATGGTAGGTTGATTTGAACAGTGAGAAACAGAATAACAACAAAAATCCAGAAAAACGCTTGTTATAAATTGTTACAAAAATGTTATAAATTGATTTGCATTTTAAATGAGGGAATTAAGTATTTGACCCCCTCTCAATCAGAAAGATTTCTGGCTCCCAGGTGTCTTTTATACAGGTAACGAGCTGAGATTAGGAGCACACTCTTAAAGGGAGTGCCCCTAATCTCAGTTTGTTACCTGTATAAAAGACACCTGTCCACAGAAGCAATCAACCAATCAGATTCCAAACTCTCCACCATGGCCAAGACCAAAGAGCTCTCCAAGGATGTCAGGGACAAGATTGTAGACCTACAAGGCTTGTAGACCTACAAGGCTTGTAGACCTACAAGGCTTGTAGACCTACAAGGCTGGAATGGGCTACAAGACCATCGCCAAGCAGCTTGGTGAGAAGGTGACAACAGTTGGTGCGATAATTCGCTAATGGAAGAAACACAAAAGAACTGTCAATCTCTCTCGGCCTAGGGCTCCATGCAACATCTCACCACGTGGAGTTGCAATGATCATGAGAACGGTGAGGAATCAGCCCAGAACTACACGGGAGGATCTTGTCAATGATCTCAAGGCAGCTGGGACCATAGTCACCAAGAAAACAATTGGTAACACACTACGCCGTGAAGGACTGAAATCCAGCAGCGCCCGCAAGGTCCCCCTGCTCAAGAAAGCACATATACAAGGCCATCTGAAGTTTGCAAATGAACATCTGAATGATTCAGAGGAGAACTGGGTGAAAGTGTTGTGGTCAGATGAGACCAAAATCGAGCTCGTTGGCATCAACTCAACTCGCCGTGTTTGGAGGAGGAGGAATGCTGCCTATGACTCCAAGAACACCATCCCCACCGTCAAACATGGAGGTGGAAACATTATGCTTTGGGGGTGTTTTTCTGCTAAGGGGACAGGACAACTTCATTGCATCAAAGGGACGATGGAGGGGGCCATGTACCGTCAAATCTTGGGTGAGAACCTCCAGCCAGGGCATTGAAAATGGGTCGTGGATGGGTATTCCAGCATGACAATGACCCAAAACACACGGCCAAGGCAACAAAGGAGTGGCTCAAGAAGAAGCACATTAAGGTCCTGGAGTGGCCTAGCCAGTCTCCAGACCTTAATCCCATAGAACATCTGTGGAGGGAGCTGAAGATTCGAGTTGCCAAACGTCAGCCTCAAAACCTTAATGACTTGGAGAAGATTTGCAAAGAGGAGTGGAAAAAAATCTCTCCTGAGGTGTGTGCAAACCTACAAGAAACGTCTGACTACAAGAAACGTCTGACCTCTGATTGCCAACAAGGGTTTTGCCACCAAGTACTAAGTCATGTTTTGCAGAGGGGTCAAATACTTAATTCCCTCATTAAAATGCAAATCAATTTATAACATTTTTGACATGCGTTTTTCTGGATTTTTTTGTTGTTATTCTGTCTCTCACTGTTCAAATAAACCTACCATTAAAATTATAGACCGATCATGTCTTTGTCAGTGGGAAAACGGACAAAATCAGCAGGGGATCAAATACTTTTTTCCCTCAATGTATTAAAATGGGTAGCAATTTTATGACACTCGACTGCGTTACAAGAGGATCTTATAAAAGTGTTTCAAATGTCATTGTCAGGACGAGAGGTAAATAATTCAGCACCCTCATGCATATTTTAAGATTTCAAATGACAAGTTATCAAACCCGTTCACAGGACTGGTTAACTCTGAAGACTTATTTGGTGTCTAGAGAGTTAGGTAGATCAGCCTTTGGTTTCCTTGCATGTTAAATGATCTACAATGCACTTCAAAATGTGTGCCTCTAGGGCATGTCAGACAGTGGATAGGGGACCTCTGTTGTTGTGTATAATAACATGTATTAACTTTTTTAGGGGGTAGATCAGTTTTAATATTGCAGATAGATTGTGGCTTCCATCAATGTAATTATCTGCATCATTTCCAATCGTGTGTGTGTGTGTGTGTGTGTGTGTGTGTGTGTGTGTGTAAATAAACTCAGCAAAAAAAGACATGTGACTAACAGAAATTTAATAATGTGTCCCTGAACAAAGGGGGGGGGGGGGGGGGGGTCAAAATCAAAAGTAAAAGTCAGTATCTGGTGTGGCCACCAGCTTCATTAAGTACTGCAGTGCATCTCCTCCTCATGGACTGCACCATATTTGCCAGTTCTTGCTGTGAGATGTTACCCCACTCTTCCACCAAGGCACCAGAGAAC